GCTGCCACAGGGCCTTTGCACTTGTCACCACCTCTTCTCTGACTGGTGTTTTCATCCTTCTGGTCACATCTACCGACTATTACTCTTTAGAGTTCTCTCCTGACCCTCTGAAGAAAGAGACTTTCTCTCTTCTTCGTTACTATCATAACATTCTTAATCATAGCATTCTGTTTATTTCCTTCATAACAGCCATCAAAAAGTGAGTTGTTTTACACATCTATGGTTTTAATTTCTATGTTCGTTTTGCTCACTTTTATGGTTCCAGATGCGTCTTAATATTTGATATGGAAGAGGAGATGTAGTTGTTGAATGAATGGACAAAAAGGCCAGTGAATGAATATGTGCATGAATGGCTATATGGGTAGATGAATAAAGTTGCTTGCTCTGTAATGAGTGGATTCAGAGTTTAGGGAATGATGATTTGTGAACAAGCAATTACAATATGGTGTGATAGGTGTTAAAGTGGAGCTAATTATACAATGTACATGTTATAGTGATAATGTAACATGAAAAAGATACAAAATAGTTTACCTTAAAGTATGCCATTTTTATTATAAATCCAAGAGTCTTCATTTCTATTATAGAAAACCTAGAAAATCCATAAAAGTATAAAGAAAATATTCATCCATCATAATCTAGTGTCATTAAAAAATGCATCAATAGATGATTATCTTTTCCATTTACCCTCTTAGGAGTTATCTATTGAATGCATATTGCACGTGCTTGACAATTTTTGTTTTGCTTATTGTTAAGAGCTCTTTACACAAAATAAAATATCTACCTTTTAAATGCCCATATGTTAAATTTTTCTCAGCTTATTTGCCTTTTAATTTTATTTCAAACTTTTGTTCATTTACAAATCATACTTTGACATAATAGCTGTTAAGAAGGTACTGCATTTTTTTTTTAAAGATTTATTTATTTGTGCATACAGAACTGGGGTACAGGCCAGAGGCCCAGGGGCGGTGAGAGGCTTCACCAGAGACAGAGTGGGGAACAGAACAGGCAGATCGACAAAGCACACTGCTGAGGGGAGCAGC